CATATTTTAAGAAAAGTTAATTTTTTTATGTTATAAAAAATAAAATGTACTTTTATTTTTATCCTTAAATTTAAATAATAATATAACTACATAAAATGCCTTCACGTTAATCAAGAAAAGATAAAATTAAAAAAAATAATTTAATTATCATAAAGTGTCATATTTTGAACTAAAATTACTTCTAAAAGGTGTTTTATAAATAGAATAAGAGTAAGTATTTGATTAACACTAATTTGCATTGGAATTCGTCCTACTTTAAATAAATAAATCCAATGACATCAAAATAAATAAAAGCTGTTGCACCATGTGCTATCCAAAATAAAAAAAGATACATTAGCAAATCACCGGAGACTTGAGACTTGAGGTTCATTGACCACTATATATTGTCCTAAAAGCCACTTGACGAGTTCAGAAGTGAAATTAAGGTCCTTGTGCTGCCGGTGATATCTGCTATTTTCTTCACCAGTTTCATGGCAACATCATTCAAAACATCAGGTTAAGTGTGTGTTTGTGTGTTCTTATATCTCTCTTTCTCTCCCTCTCGTCTCTCTTGCTGTAATATCTGCAACAAAACTCAATACTGCTTGTTCTGATTATCTCTCTGTGTTATTCTCAGACTCTGAGAGGCTTAAAATGATCAAATTCAGAGACCAAAAGGGATAAATTTTCATATCATATGCTTAAACTTCCACGAGGCTATAAAGTAGCTAGCTAGGGGTTCGGGTAGCTAGGTTGGTCCTTCAGGGGAATAATCTACTAGTATCCCCTAATATCAGGGAGTTAAAGGAAGATAAAGTTCATACGAAAATTTTTCCACAGAATAATGTCATCTCACACCGTGTTTGTAGGTAAAAAATGTGTTTTTCTAAAACTTCTCATTTTTTCTAGAAAACACATTTTCCGCATACCAAACAATATTACATTGGATTTTCAAAAATTGAATGCTTTGGCAATGAGTTGGGTCTTAAGTCTTAACAGAGGCTAACTAAAGCTAGGGCAAACCTTAAAACTAACAGGATCTTATAGTTCAAAGAAGTTTTACAGGAGTTCACATATATTACCTGCTGATACAATGTTCACATCAATAACATACTTAGACTCAAATTCTTGTGGGGTAAGATAGGCTCTTGCCAATGGAACCAACATCTGTTAGCTAAATTTTATTAAAGCTGAAAGGATCTTAGGGCTAAATTCTTATTATCACTTTGTATTTTATTAAATTCCTATTATCACTTTGTATTTTAAAATGTGTTGCAGGTCCATCAAAAGATTGTAAGAAAGTGGAGATATTGGAAAACAACAATGAACAAAAACCTGATTTGTTAAGCTCCCTGAAAGCCAAATTAGAAGCTATAGGCTCTTTGGAGCTTCCCTTAACATCAGGATGTTGCATCTACAAAGTGCCACCGAAAATTCGTAAAGTGAATGAAGAAGCCTACATTCCTACCTTAGTTTCAATTGGTCCATTTCACCATGGAGACGAGATTGGAATCAATGGAAGAGGTCAAGCTATGGTGCCTCAACAACTTCCTAACGAGGAGTGAAGATAAATCATTGGAGGATTATGTTAAAGCTCTAAGAGATTGGAAAGATGAAATTCGACGTTGTTATTCAGAGACCATACCGATGGAGAGCGATGATTTTGTAAGCATGATTCTAACTGATGGTTGCTTTATCATTGAGTACCTTCTCTCTTGTCTAGGTATGTTAGAAATAAACCCTTGGCGTTTCAAATTATGGCCAACATGTGACATAAATCTAGACTTGATTCTACTTGAGAATCAATTGCCATTTTTTGTTCTTAAAGGCCTATTCGACCTAACTTTTCCCGCTGGCTTCAACGGTAGATTTCCCTTCATTGAGATAGCCTTCAACTTTTTTAGGAGAGTGTTCCTACACCATATTGTCCCGAAAAAGGAAGTTCGTGGGAAGTTTACTTTTAACTATTTCCAACAACACTACCTTGAATAACCGATTAAAACTCAATTTGAATCACCTACATTCACAAAAGTGATCCATCATCTGAATGACATGCTAAGGATTTTTTACTTACCAGAAAAGTTACCAAGAAGAGAATTTGGTAAACTAGAGCCTGTATATAGTGCAAGCCAACTACGTGAGGCAGGAATTAAATTTCAGGTCAATGAACAAGAGAAAAGCATACTAGAGATAAAATACTCAGAGGGAGTGTTGAAAATACCATATTTTCAAGTAAGTGATTGGACTTAGATTGTGATCAGAAACATGGTTGCATTTGAGCAGTGTCACCTTGCTCCTGAGTGTTATGTGACAGATTATTTAACCCTCATGAACTATCTCATTGACACTGGAAAAGATGTTGAGCTGCTTGTTGAGAAGGGAATCATGGACAACTTGTTGGGTAGCAATGATGAAGTGGCTTCCTTGGTCAACACACTTGACAAAAATACTGTGTTCATGACGCGCAATAGTGAGTATCTCTCTCTATGTGAAGAACTCAACAAGTTTTATGAGAATCCTTATCACAAGTATAAAGCAATCTTTAAGCATGAGTACTTGAGCACCCCTTGGAGAATGGCATCTGTCAGTACTGCAATTTTGCTCCTTATGCTCACTCTAATTCAAACAATATTCTCTCTGCTCTTATTTCAGTAGATCAAAAGCTCTTGTACAACATTAGATATCACCTCTCTGGAATATCCTAATTTTATTAGTTTCTTATTCTACAAGAAACTAAACCATTCACATCTGATTTAGATGGTTCAAAATTAGATATGCATCTTGTATATCTTTGAGAAATGGGTAGGAAATTTAGGTTCCTTGAATAACTCTCAAGTATTATTTTGTTGCGTGATCCTTCTCATTATGCTCCTTCCCTACTAAATTACACTATATGAAACTCATATCAACTGAAAAACATGAAACCTCAGCTATAGGGTCAGGTGAATCAGTGAGAAAATCAAGTGTTTTTCACTCTTGCATGAAAGTTATTTGTTTATTCTATTAAATCAATTGAAAGCAATAAGGTACATATATACATGCTCAAAAAAAAAAAAATTCATCTCCATCTGAGATTCAAGAAACTTTTGATGCGTGACTTGTTTGATATGGGGAAACTTCTTCCCACATATGAGGATTTCGTCCAAGTTAGCCCTTTGGAGTAGAACAGAATTTTGTGAAGAAAATAAGAACCTGAAGAAATACGTAACCATGTTAACTAAAAATCTAGAAAGTTTTGTAAAGAAAAAAAATTTCATAGCAAAGCTGAAGTGAATAGTTTTTAAAGGAAAAATATTTTTTTCCAATCTCTAGTTTACGTGAATGTCCTCTGGTAGAGATTTTGAAAGTAAAAGAACCAACGTCCTTAACATTGCAAAGGGCAGGGAATGGGATTTAAAAAAAAAAAACAGAGGAAAAATATAATTTTAGATCCCTACACTTTGCTTAAATTTTATTATAGGTCCCTATACTTTTTTTTCAATGTTTTAGGTTCATATACTTTTATTTTATAGGGACTTCGAACACCCAAAAATAAAATCAGGAACCTTTAACAAAACTCAAGCAAAGTGTAAGGGCCTAAAGTAATATTTTCTAAAAAAAAAACCCTCCAAGGACTACAATCAAACTCGATGGAAGCATAGGCTCCCTTTTCTCATGTTTCTATATTTTCATTATCAAGAGAGAATTTGCAAAGGTACATCATTCTATGTTGTACGTTGTAAAAAGGAAGGAAACTTCCGACAAAAAAATCCTAGCATGACCACAAGTTTTCACGAAGGAGACTGAAAGCCTATGTAGCACGGATACTTCAAAAAAGCAAACATACCTGTATCCGATACGATACTTGTAGGATACTTCTGCTTACGTATCCCATATTCTAACATTTATGATATGATTTTTTTTCAATAATTTTTTACTATATCACTTAAAAAATTAAAAAAAACACTTAATATTTTAGTTAATTACTATAAATATCTTTATATTACTCTAGAAATTCTTGTTTAAAAATCAAAATACCTATACTTATATCATAAAATGTTGAAATATACATTATAAATATCCCCGTATTCGTATCTTAAAATTTTAAAAATTTTCCGTACCCCCGTATCATGCCGTATCGTATCAGATACTCGTACCCGTATCTATGCAACCTAGCTGAAAGCACAAGTCATAAAAGCAAATTGGCAAATTGAACGCTCGTTTTTAGGTGGCAAGACTTTAAGATTGGACCCCACATGTTTTTTACTCTGTCAGACTTGAACTGTATTATTGTGTCTCCAAAGACTTCAAGTTGATGACTTGAGCACTATAAAGTGTACAAAAGGCCTAAAGCTTTGATCACTCGATGAGTTTAGAAATTACTAGCGTAAGGTCTTGTCTTTCCGATTGGTGATATGCTCTTCTCTTCAGTTACAGGGCTACATCATTCAAAACATCAGGTTAAGTACCTCTTCCTTGTATCTCTTACTGTAACATAGCTGCAACAAAACATGGTACTGCTGATTTTGAACTTCAAGAGTCTAAAACATCAGATTCATGCAACAAAAAGGATAAGTTTTTCTATCATATGGTTAAACTTTTGAGAGTGAATGAGAAATGTAGAGTAAATGACAAAGTAGCTATATCGCTAGGATAGCCATGTTGGTCTTTTCACATGACTAGTATTAGAAAATTCTTTAGAAGGGTTAGAAAATTTTTACACATAGAAATTGTATTTTATTTAAAAAAAAATGCAATGCTTTGATGATGAGTTGGATATCATAGACTTATTAGAGAGGACAAGCCTCACACAAGCTAACGAGATTTTATAGTTTCAAATAATGTTCACACTCAAAAGACCTTCACATCAACAACAGCAACATTAAAACTCAAGTCCCTGTGGGACATAAGACCAACATTTACAAGTTGAACCAGTATTTGTTGGCTATATTTTATTATGGCTCAAGAGGAGACCCTAGGATTAAATTCTTCTCACTTCAATATTTAATTGCGTTTCAGGTCCATCAAATGATCGTAGGAAAATGAAGGTAATGTAGAACAAAAGAGAACAAACACCTGATTTGTTAAGCTCCTTAAAAGCCAAATTAGAAGGCATAGAGAGCTTCCCTTAGCATCAGGATGCTGCATCTACAAAGTTCCACCAAAAACTCAGGAAGTGAATGAAGAAGCCTGCTCTCCTACCTTAGTTTCAATTGGCCCCTTAGTTTCAATTGGCCCATTTCACCGTGGAGACAAGAGATTGGAATCAATGGCAAAGGTAAAACCACGGTGCCTCAACAACTTTCTAGAAAGGACTCAAGAGAAAGTGTTGGAGGATTATGTTAAAGCCCTAAGAGATTGGGAAGATAGAATTCGATGCTGTTATTCAGAGACCATTCCAGTGGAGAGTGATGATTTTACAAGCATGATCCTAACTGATGCTTTCTTCATCATTGAGTACTTTATCTCATGTTTAGGTCTGTTAGAACAAAACCCTTGGCGTTTCAAATTATGGCCAACATGTGATATAAATCGAGACTTTGTTTTACTTGGGAATCAACTTCCATTTTTCGTTCTCAGCCCTATTTGACCTAAGTTTTCCCACAGGCTTCAATGGTAGATTTTCATTCGTTTAAATAGCCTTCAACTTTTTCAGGAGAGTGTTCCTGCACCATATTGATCCAAAAAAGGGAATTCGTATGAAATTTAGTTTTAACTATGTTCAACAAAACTACTGTGAACAACCGGTCAGAACTACTACATTCAAATCACCTACATTTACAAACTTGATCCATCACCTGAATGATATGCTAAGGATCTTTTACCCGCCAGATCTATTACCAAGAAGAGAATATGGCAGACTGAAGCCTATATATTGTGCAAGCCAACTACGTGAGGCAGCAATCAAATTTTGGGTCAATGAACAACACAAAAGCATAACTGAGCTAAAATATTCAGAAGGAGTGTTGAACATACCATATTTCCAGGTAAGTGATTGGACTGAGACTATGATCAAAAACGTGGTTGCATTCGAGCAGTGTCACCTTGCTCTTGAAAGCTATGTGACTGATTACATAGCCTTCTTGAATTGTCTTATTGACACTGGAAAAGATGTTGAAGTGCTTGTTAAGAAGGGAATCATGGACAACTTGTTGGGTCACAATGATGAAGTGGCTTCCTTAGTCAACAATCTTGACAAAGACAATGTCTTTATGACTTGCAACAGTGATTATCTTTCTCTGCATGAAGAACTGAACAAGTTTTATGTGAATCCTTACCACAAGTCTAAGGCAATTTTAAGCACGAGTACTTGAGCACTCCTTGGAAAATATCATCTTTCTTTGCTGAAATTTTTCTCCTTTTGCTCACCCTAATTCAAACAATCTGTTCTGTCATCTCCTTATTTTAGCAGGTCAAAAGTTCCTGTAAACACAAACAGAAATGTACAAGTCACGCATCTGATTTAGATTGTCAAAATCATCTCTGGACCGTCCAAATTTTATTATTATTATTTTTAATTATAAGATGATTTAAGCCCGTCATGTCTAAATTATATAGTTCAAATTATACGTGCATTTTCTAGATCTCTAAGAATACGTAGGGAATCTTGATACACTGAATAACTCTCAAGTAGTAATAAAATTTGTAGCATGATCTCTTGCACCAGTGCTTCCATTTCTATTACATTACACTTTGTGTATCTTATATCAACTTAAAATCTTGCAATCTCACCTATAGTGTTTGTTGAGATTGCAAGAATTACATACAAAACTAGGGGGCATGTATGCTTCAACCAAGCTTTCGTTCTGTGTAGATGCAAAGTAATGTCAAGAGGAATATCTTGACACTTACTCGAGACCTACGAGAAAAGAGAAACAGAGCAAGCTTTCCAAGGATTAATTCAAATGCTACAAACATGGGTATGGAATATGAGAGGACTTACAGCAGTGAGAAGAATGAATAAAGCTTAGGAAAGGACGAGAATGGATTGTAAATGATCTTCAGGCCCTCTGAACAACATTTGAATCTCAGAAATCGGAGAGAAGTCAGGTAACACGCAGATTGGATAGTGTAGTCAAGGATCATCGGAGCTAGGGCACTGAGAGGGGAGCTTTCCTCCTTTTCAAAGAGCAATAGTTGAGTCGGGGTCGTGGAACGGCGTCGTATTAAGTACAGAGAAACCAGGAACTGGCTGCATTCTCGCCGCTCGTCTTCAAGCTTCTTCTTCTTCAGTGGGGATGGCGCTAAAATTAAGGTTCAGTGCCCCCCGGGGGGGGGGGGGGACAGAATAGGGAATTTCTGTTTTTGGTTTTGACTTGCAGCCCAAACAGTTTACGGGTAGATAACATTTTTAAATCTACAAAGCCCAATTTTAGATTACGGGTAGATTACATTTTTTACTTCTTAAAATTTTATAATAAATTTTTATAAATTTTAACATTTAAATAAGTATTTTTTATTGATAATTAACAAGTGGGCTCAGTAAAAAATAAAAAATATTTTTTATTACCTATAAATATTCTCTTTTTAAAATAATCTTATTTAAAATATAATCAAGCATTAAAAATTAAAATCAAGGAATGAGTGATACTGCTCCATATGAGCTTGAACCTTATGGGCTCAAGCCCACACCACTTTAAAAAAATAAATAAAATTTAAAAAAAAAAGCTTAATATTATATCTAGACTATCTTCAATACTCATCAAGGGATTAGCATTATATTACTTATTACCTTTAATGAGATTTAAACTTTTCAGACTTAAAGCTTTTATCTATACTTTACATGATACATTTAGATAATTAATTTATAAAAATTATAAAACTTTAATATTAAATTAAATCATTCAAATTATATCTGTACCATCCAAAATATATCCGAATAGTTAAATTATGAAATTAAAAAATTTGAATATTAAGTGAGTATGTCAAACTAAGTTTGTACTGGCTAAATTGATGATGAATGGAATTATTAAAAAATAAACTTGATAAAAATAAAAATAAAAAGCTGCATGCCCATTCCCAGATTAGCATTGAAGACAATCTAAATTTAATGTTAAATTTTTTTATAATTTTTTGTTTTAATAAATATAATATTAAAAAAACTTTAAAATTAATTTAAATGAATGACAGAGATTTTTTAAGATAAAATGAAAGACCCAGATTGCTAATGAGCACCAAATAAATGCTAACGCAGAACATAACACAAAATATATAGAAATAATTTTCAGCAATATATTCTTTTTCAAACCAGGAGCGTCTAAATCTCACGCAATGTACAATAGCAACAAAAGATCTGTTTACTCTAAAATGAAAAATGGCACAAAAGATTTTGCGTATTAGAAGAACATCTCTTAAAAGCAGAGTAGAACATAGAAATTAGTAGCAACATTATTAGCTTAATACCCTCAAGAACGATTCAGTACTTTTTCTGTTCTCTTATTGAAGAAGACAAGAAAAAGAGAATAATAAAAAGAAAAGGAAGATTCTAGACAACATTGTAAAAGAATGAATCAATTTGCTATATAATTAGAATGGAGCTGGTTAATTAACATTTGAGGATTGGCTCTACACTTTTGTTTCCGGGCTGCATTGATCAAAATGTACGTTAGTTGTCTATTTTCTTGTGATTTATTAACTTGTAATTTATTAAATTTATGTAATTAATTAACATTGTTTCACTAACTTTGAATTTTTTTTTTTTTTCAATTTCTCTTGTTATTATTCCATTCCATCACTCAATATCAAACTTTTAGACAGAAGTTGATAAAGAAACAGAATCAACACTAGCACTTATAAACTCATCACTGCAACTGCATGCAGGTAAGGGTGTACACAGGTGGGTAGGGCCGCCCGTGCCATTACCTGTTACCTACCCATTTATGACTAAATAGGTGGCCACCCGCCCATACCCGCATATACCCATTTACACCCATTTTTTAAATAGGTCCAAACGGGTATGGGTGGGTATGGGTGGATTTAGGTCAGCCATTTAGCTTGACTTTCTTAAAAAAAAAATCAAAACGTGTATGAGAAGAAGAATTGAAGACTAAAGAAGAAGAAGAAGATAGGCCGAGATTGAAGAAAAGTGTAATAACCTGTATTATAATTATAAAGCTAGATTAATTAATAAGATAAAATTTTGGTATTTCTATAAATTGTTGGGGCAAGAATAACAACATGCATTGGTGGCTTAGTGGTATATCTGTTGGCCATTGTCATCCAAGTTTGGGGTTCTAAGTTTTCACCATGCACAAAAAGGCAGGCTTTATTTTTGTTTTTTTAATTGCATGAAAGTAACATTTTGCCCCTGAAAAAAGAAGAAGTGGTAAGGATTAAATCAGGCAGCTGCTCCTTCTTCATATTCATTTTTATTTTTGAAATATCTGGAGCAGCCAAGAGAGAGAGAGAGAGAGAGAGAGTGCTCAAATTGATCCTCCATCCTTTGCTCACATCTTCCATTTCAATTGGTCGCTGGTGTAGGGGTTCTAGTCACCGGGAGTTGCTATTGTAAGGAATTAGTTCAAAGTTGATATATTCGCTCCATTTTCAGGCTTCACCGATTCCTTCTTCTCCCTCCTTCACCGTCGATCCCAAAATATGAGAGTGACCGGCACAAGATACACTAAACACACATCCCGTAAACCTAATTCAATAAATTTTTATTTTAAAAATAACTTTTCATTTAAATGAGACATTAATATTTATGTAAGAATTTTGACATAATCTCCCTTGAGAATAGGATTTTCTTGAAGTTCTACAATACAATTTTTTTTTTAAGAAATATTACAACATCTTGGAGCTTAACTCCTCTTAGCCAATAGACAAAATATTTACAAAATAAAGACCTTTACATAGCCTATGTGGAGCACCTATAACATTATTTATAAAAGTACAACATATAGATTAAAATTGTACCCAAAAAAATAGAGATTAACCACAATGGTGTCATAACTTCAATTCAGGAGAAAAATCCCTTGAATGATTTGATGGAGATACAAACTATTTGAGACCAAAAATATTTTCTAGTGAATAACATCCCAACCATAATATTTTGTAGAATCAAAATGAAAAAAATATGACCATTACATAAATTAAATGAGAAAACAATTTAATGTAACAAAGTTGTAAACTCAGAATAGAAATTTTAAAGAACTTCATCACAATAACATTTAAAGCTATAATAACAAAGTAGCTTTAACATTTGATATTGACAAATTAAAATAAATAATTAAATATATATATATATATATATGAAAATAATAACGTTTGCTAATTGAAAATCATTAGAATGTGAAATCATCAGTTAAATAAAAATTTAAATTTTTGAGGATTTATCAGAACAGCTCACAAACGTGGACACATAGTCTACAAGGGCAAATAATCAAACGCGGCTTATGCCATAAAAACAAATGTGAACACATAATCCACGAGGGTAAGTAACCAAACACAGTCGAAGTCATAAAACAAACATGGATACACAGTTCATGAGGGTAATACTAATAAAACGCAGCTTGAAGCCACAAAAAAACGTGAGTACCATGCTCACAAGTAACCATCCCTTCATTCCACGTGTGTTGGCCATCGCATAGGACCAGCACCTCCTATAAATATCCTACTAGCTAGATGTACCATGGCACGCCAAAGGCTAACAGAACTACCATTAACAACCAGTGTTCTGTATAAAGTTCCCTTGAAATTCATTTTCAAACCAATTTCAAACATGTGAGAATATAATCACTATTAAATAAAATTTTCATTTTCAATGTCAAACTCGCATGAATCGTTTTTTTGTAACAATTCAATAATTTTCATAATGAAAATCCCATAATTAAAATCTAAACTTGTATTTACTGATAAACTAAAATTATCAAATCTGGTAAAGATAACTTCACAAAAATAAAGTACTTTAATCAACAAAATATTCAATAATCACATTGTTGCTATAAAAAGGATTTATATAAAAATGTAATATTTCAGTAAACAATTTTATTGGAATATCAGTTGAGACACTATCCACTTACCCGATAAGCTCTAAAGATAATGGTTTTTTCCTGCTAAGCACCTTTCAAAAGCCTTTAGCTACTCCACTATCTAAAAAAAACAAAACAACAACTCTCTTTAACGATGACCCTATTTTATATATCGCCTGTTAACTCCAATCACATTTTTACTTTTCCAAACACCCTAAAAATCATTTTAAGACTTGAAAGAACTGTTAATAAATTCAATAATTTCCTTCCAACATTGCTGCTATCACAATTTAGGCATAATAGAGTTGAAATTTTTAATATCAAGACCTTACACATAAAAATCCCTCCAAAGCCATAGCTCCAAAGACTTCAACTAACAACATATCACTTTCATAATCAAAATTTGTACACAATATTAAGATCAATTCTCAAGATAATAGCATCCAAACTAATTATGTTTTTCAAGGAATTTAATGAGATTTTAGGATATACACAATCAATCACTTCCTCTAACAAGCATTTTAACAAACATTTTATAAGCATCAATCTTTAAGTTTCATATCTACGCTCTTTTCTTCCAATTTTCATCCTAACCAATTATTCAATAGCAACCAATTTAAACAAAAATTAATTTAACTCATAAATTCTAATCCATATGTGTCATCATCATGCTTCAATACAAATTTTTCAGCTTATTTTAACTCTTCTCCCCCTTAAACTGTCACGAGCAGTAGCAGAACATAAAAAAAAATTGAAACTTCAACGAAAATTCTATTCAAACAAAAAATTTGATTTTTTCTAGTCTTAAATTTAAACTTGTTAGAACCTCAATCTTTACCTTACACGCACAGCAACTAATACAGGGGAAGAATAAAAATTCAGCAACCTCCTAAAGCATAAAACACACAAATCTAACCTAAGGAAGAGGGAGGATGAAGCTTGAACTCACCAAGGAGTAAAAGAGGAATGGATCGAAAGATTTGATATTCCCTCC